AAGATCTGAAAACAGAATTTAATAAAGAGATAGAAATATTGAAAGGAACAAAGCTGAAATGAAAATGGAACATTTTATAAAACCCAATGACTGAGCTAGAAAACTGAAGGGAAAGCCTTTTGAGTAGGATGAACCCAGCAGAAGATAGAGTATCGGGACTCAAAGATAAAGTAGGGGATCTACACAAAATAACAATATGAAAATTTTAAATAAAAACAGGGAAAGAACATGCAGGAAATGTGGGTCAATATCAAAAGCCAACCCTTTGAATTTTAGGCAGAGAAGAGGGAGAAGAATCCCAAGTCAATGGCATAGACAAGATCTTCAACAAGACCATAGAAGAAAACGTTTCCAAGCTAAGGAAAGACACACCCATCTACAAGAAACACATAGAACATCAAATACACAGGACTAGGGAAGAAACTCTGCATGGTATATCATACTTAAAACACTATCTATACAAGACAAAGAAAGTGATTAAAAGCTGGAGATAAAACACAAGTCACATATAAAGGAAAACCCATAATAATAACAGTTGATTTCTCAATGGAAACTTTGAAAGCCAGGAGAGCCTGGAACAATGCATTACATTGCACATTCAAAAAAAAAAAACCCTCAACACCCAACCTAGATTAATATTCCCAACAAAATTACCTGTCATACTTGAAGGAGAAAGAAAAGCTTTTCATGGGGACTGGAGAGATGGCTCAGTGGTTAGGAGCACTGACTGCTCTTCCACAGACTATGAGTTCAATTCCCAACACCCACATGGCAGCTAACCGCTGTCTGTAACTCTAGTTGCATTTTCAGTGGGCAGAGATGGCAGAAGATGCGTCTGGAGGCTTTTCAAATCTCTGCCTCTAACAGCACCCTTACACCTTCCTACCTATGGTACAAACGATAACAGCGCCGTCCAAAGATATCCGAGTCTTGATCCCCAGAACCTGTGAATATGTCAGGCTCTATAGCCATACAGAAATAAGGTTGCTGTCTCTTGGCCTTAAAATGAGGAAATGATCTTGGTTTTATCTCTATGGACACAACAGGACATCAAAGGTAGGAGGAGGAAATGGAAGAGAGAACCAGAGAACTAGCAGTGTGAGAAACACTTAGGCCAGATGTCGTTGACTTTTAAGGTTGAAGAAAGGGGCCATAGGCCAAGTAATACCGATAGCTACAGGAAGCTGGGAAAGGCAAAGGAAATCAGTAATCTGCTAGAGCCTCAGGAAGACACACAGCATACCCAAGATCTTTGTTTAAACCCATTGGAAGGCACTTAGGGCCTGTAGAAGTGTAGGTGGTGGTTTGAATAAGAACGGCCCCCATAGGCTCATATGTTTGAATGTTTAGTCATCAGGAAGTGGCACTGCCTGAGAAGGATTAGGAGGTGTGGCCTTGTGGGAGTAGGTGTGGTCTTGTTGGAGGAAGTGTGTCAATGGGGTGGGCTTTGAGGGTTCAAAAGCCCACGCCAGGCCCAGGGTCTCCACCTTGCTGCTGCCTGCCGATCCAGATGTAGAACTCTCAGCTCCCTCTCCAGCACCATGTCTGCCTGTGTGCCCCTATGCTTACCGCATGACGACAATGGACTAAAATTCTGCACTGTAAATCTGTCCTAATTAAATACTTTCTTTTATAAGCGTTTCCAAGGTCATGGTGTCTCTTCATAGCAATAAAACACTGACTAAGACAGTATACAATAACAAATTCAAGCTGCTTAAATGACTGTGTATGCATATGGCAACTTTTTATATCAGCAATAGGAAACTAATATAGTATGTGAGTGGATATTTTTTTCCGGTTCTTCACATCATGGGTCCATGGCCTGAAGGAAGGTGTTTCAGAGGTCTTACTGAAGCAGTTATGCTGGAGTCTTGATCAAACACATGGATACTATGTATACAAGAAAATTAATCATTACTGATGGAGCAGTCGAGAGCACATGGGAAAATATCTTCCTTGATGATTAGTGACCAGAGGCGCACTAGGTAGACCACTGTGGACTTCAAGGGTAACATGTACCACAGAAAGCTCTGTGGCTTCTACCCTTTTACTGACCAAAACAAACAGAACCAATTTTGCAAGGAGCTAAAAGAAGCCACAGCTCTCAGCTGACCTTAGCTTTTGTGCAAGCAACTCAGTAGTTTCCTTTGTGGCAGGAGAAACAACAGAAAATGGAGCCTGTGGCAGGTGTAATTCCAGAGGGGTCTGCTAAGTCACTTTCAGAGAATCCCAGGAGAGGTACCTACAGTTTCAAAGCAAAGATAGACCCACATTGGCATATGTGGTAGGATGAATCATGGCCCCACAAAAGATAAGTTCACCATGAACCTATAAATTGGAGTGAATTTAAGCTAAACATCTTGAGATGAGATTATTCTAGGTTGGTAGATGGTAGGGGACTTAAATCCAGGGGCAACTGTTCAATAAGGAAGAGACGGGGAGATCTGGCAATGTGAAGAAGACAAGGGGAATGATTGGAAGTTGATAAGCCGGGAAAACCAAGGACTGCTAACAGCATTTAGAGCTTTAAATAGAGGACTAGAAGGTGTGGTGGTTGGAAAGGGAATGTCCCCCATAGACTCAGTTGAATGCTTAGACACCAGGGAGTAGATCTGTTTGGGCAAGATTGGGAGATATGTCCTTGCTTAGAGAGGTGTGTCACTGAGAGTGGCTTTGAGGTTTCAAAAGTCCATGCCATAGCACTCATACCCCAAGCCCCTCGAAATAATAAGAAAAAAAACCATTCCAATTATAAACTGAACTTTCACAAAGATGATTCGTCTGTACAACAGATATCTGTTCAATGGAAGCCCTTGCTCACATTACTATTAAAGGTAGGAACCAGACCAGTAAGTCATGATGTGGTGGCATGGGAAGACACATCTGTAATTCCTGTGGTCCTACAGAGGGATTGGATGTGGAGACAGAATATCCCCAGAAGTGCAAGGGCCAGCTAGGCAGAGTGAAAAACAAGAGAGAATCTTTAAAGTGCAAGAAGAGACTGACATCTGGGGCTGTTGTCCTCTGATCTCTTTATTCTCTCCTCTC